AATAAATACCTCTATGTAAGAATATGGGGAGAAATCATAATATTGACATACTAATAAATAGATTTAAGCAGAGCCGGATAAAGACTTTGTGAGCTCCTGGGCTGCAGCCTCTAAAGTCCATGCCTTAATCCGGCCCTGGATTTAGGTTTGAATTATTAGTAATTAATATTAGAATTAATAATGTAACTTTAGACACTAATATTATTTTATGTTAGATAAGGAAATTAGACATACTGCGGTAACTTGCATCTCTTTGAAGAAATGAGGAAAAATGAGAGACAGGTTCCTCCTTCACTGTAACTCCTAAATTTATATTTACACTCACCAAAGAGACTGTATGTATAAAACCACCCAAAATGTCATTGCCTTATTAATCTTAAGTTAGTCTTAAGTTTGCCACCTAAAGTTTGCCACCTTAAGCATGGCCACCTTAAAGTTTGCCACCTTAAGCATGGCCACCTAAATATCATTAACCTTTGTACAAACATTGTATCTTGCTGAAATAAAGTATCTTATCTTATCTTAACAGCGGTCGGGATAACAACTCAAAGGAGGTCGAAGCTCAGCATCCTACGCTGTCTACAAATTATTCCATCTTTCAGCCAGCTAAATTATATGCTTTCAGAGAGAGAGAGTAGATTATAATCTTGGCTTGTCAATCAGCAATTTGAGAACAGTAATACGAAAAGAACTTCAACTGAACTTTATTGACTTTAGACTGAGGTAGATTGACAATAGTCAGTCCATCTATCATCAATCTATCATGCAGGAGGAGCCACATGTCTTGTGCATCCAACAGAATAAGCAGATTCTTGGAGTTTACTTTAATCCCTGTTTAATCTCTGCCCGAATTGCTAGTAAGTAAGCAAGTAAGTTTATTCAGGTTTACACAAATACAATTTACATACATCGACACCATGCCTAACCCTTCTAGGGTAGGGTAGGTGCCTGAGCCCGAGCCTTTAGCTCATAAGACTGTCATTCCCATTTGCCCCCTTGGGGCGGGGATGGCAGACCAGAAAGGCCTAGCTTGTGGCTAGGCCTGGGGACAGTTGGTCCCAAAGATGAGGAGGTACTTGTGCCTCCTCCCATGGGAGACTTAGGTCTCAGACACTCCCTAAAGAGGGAGCCAAGGCCGGGCCACCACTTGGAAAAGGCCCGGGCCGGGAGAATACCGGCTAATCTTTAATAATAATAATAAATAATTTACATAGATAGCCTGAGCTTGCTACCATCTGCAGCTCATAAGACTGCCATCCCCACGAGCCCCTTTGAGGCGGGGTAGATGGCAGACCTGAGGCCTAGCTTCTCCCTACGAGCCCCGTGAGGGCGGGGAATGTGGCTAGGCCTGGGGACACTTGGTCCCAAAGATGAGGAGGTACTTGTCCTTCCTCCCATGGGAGACTTAAGTCTCGAGACACTCCCCAGATAGGGAGCCAAGGCCGGGTCACCACTACTTGGAAAAGACCCGGGCCGGGAGAATACCGGTGAATAAAAAAAAAAAAAAATTTACATAGATGATCATACATAGCAGCATATGTGTACAGAACCTATGATAACCCAAAAAAGTCAGTGACTTATTTCCATTGGGGTTCTTTATCCAGTCATTGTTATTATAATGGGGAGCGCTAAACCCGTAGGATTATACAGCGCATGTGGGGATGATAGAAGGTATTCAGGCTCAATTCAGGGAACTGGAGCACAGATTCAATTCCCCAATGGAAATAAGCCACTCTGTCTGCCTTTTTTGGGTTATCCTAGGTTCTCTACACATATGCTGCTATGTATGATAATTCTATGTAACTGTATTTGTATATACCTGAATAAACTTACCCTAAATCAAGAGCCCCTCACCAGCGTTAAGGATCCTCCCTTAAGGGGCGCCCTTTATCCAAGCTCATGCATACTAATAGTTTTCTTTGTGCTTAACAATATTTTACTACATGTAAACTACACATTGTATACTATGCATAGAAATAATTTTTTTTAATTTGAATCTATTTTAAGGATTGAAGTATTCTTGTCAAGTCATTAAAACGCTATTTATTTATTTATTTATTTTGTTTATTTATTATTAATTTGAACATGATACATAGAAGTACAAAGAAATATAGTGGCTAAGTGTAACATGCCAAAGCCCCTTGTATGCAGAGCATTATGGGCAGGCTTAAAATTAACTTAAGATTAACTAAGCAATGATATATTCGGTGGTAAACATTATTGTAAACAAATAACAATTAAGCACAAATGAGTATTTCAAAGACAGGTCATATTGTCATTTACAATGTTGCTGTGCATTCAGTAGGATGGAGTATTCTGTTAGGTATTGTAATTAAAAATAACAAAGTTTGATTGGGTCACAGGGCAAACATTTATGAGATACAATTATTCAGTATTTATTTAGTTGAGGGTGAGTAAGTGATTTTTAAGAAGAGACTTGAATTTATAAACAGTATTTCTTTTACATTCACAGGCAATGAATTCCAGATTTTTGGGCCTTTTATGTGCATTGAGTTTTTGCATAGTGTGAGATGGACACGAGGAACATCAAAGAGTGATCTGTGCCTTGTGTTATGGTCATGTGTTCTGTTGAGGTTGGTAAGGAGACGTTTGAGGGAAGGGTTTATATCCGAGTTAAGTGTTCTATGTATGTAGTAAGTACAATAATAAGTATGGATGTTCTGTATGGTGAGTAGGTTAAGAGTTTTGAATATTGGTGGAATGTGCTGTCTGTAGTGGGAATTTGTTATCATTCTGACTGCAGCCTTTTGTTGTGTAATTAATGGTCTGAGATGGTTTATTGTTGTTGAGCCCCATGCACAAATTCCATAGGTGAGATAGGGGTAAATAAGTGAGTGATATAGGGCCAGGAGGGCTGACTGTGGAACATAGTACCGTATCTTCGATAGTATGCCTACGGTTTTGGAAATTTTCTTGGAAATTTTCCCTCTGTGAGCTTTGTGATAGGTGATCCGTTTATCATTATGTTAAGAGGGACATCTGTCAGTGTTGAGAGTAAGTTTGTTAGTCATCATCCAGGTAGATATTTTCTGTAATTCGGTATTCACAGTACTGGCTAGCATAACTGGGCTCGGGTGAGAGAAGACGTATGTAGTGTCATCTGCAAATAGTGTGGGGTTGAGTAGTTGCGATGCATTTGGTGGGCCATTTATGTAAACGAGAAAGAGAGAGGGCCAAGATCACTTCCCTGTGGGACACCAACTGTAATTGGCTGTGCGGAAGAGTTTGCTCCATTTGTGTACACATATTGGCTTCTGTTGCTGAGGTATGACTTTAGGTAGTTGAGGGAGTGCCCTCTAATACCATAGTGCGACAATTTTATGTGGAGCAAATCACGGTAAACTGTAACAAAAGCTTTACGTAAATCAATGAAGATCCCCAGTGGGAATTCTTTTTTCTCTAGTGCAGTGTATATTTGTTCTAGCATGTGTATAATAGCATCATTCGTATTTTTATTAGGCCTGAACCCAAACTGACATGGGTTGAGTATGTTGTGGGAGATGAGAAAGGAATAGATTCGCTTATGAATTAATTTTTCGAAGATTTTAGAGAGAGGGTGTAAGTTGGATATTGGCCTATAGTTGTTCAAGTCTGTTTGTTCTCCTTTAAGGATCGGGGTTACCCTCACTATTTTGAGAACTGTAGGGAAGGTAGAGGATTCGATGGATTTGTTAGTGTTGCAATGATTGGTGACAGCACTTGGGACGCTTTTTTGTATATAAAGGGTGGTAAGGTATTTAAATCTCCTGTCTTGTTTTTTAGTGTGTTGAAAATAAGGGAAACTTCTGTTGGGTTAGTCGGAGCTAGGAACAGTGTGTTCAGGTAGTTGCCAGTGAGGTAGTCATTGGGTGGGGTATTTGAGCTTGGGATTTTATTGGCAAGATTTTTTCCTATGGTGGAGAAGAAATCATTGAGTCTGTTTGCTGTTTCAGTTGGTGGGAGTTGGGGTTCATATGGTTTTGTTAGTTCAATTGCGCCATTTCGTGATATCTTTTTTGTTCCTAGAATTTCTGATAGGGTTTTCCAGGTCTTTTTTATATCTCCTTTTAAGTTGAATAATCTGTTCTCATAATAAAGTTTTTTAGCCCTTCTTATCAGGCTGGTTAGGATTGACGAGTAACGTTTTGTTTGGTCTCTGGTTATGTGATCCATTCTGTACTGTTTTTCATATAGGTGCATTGTATTTATGGATTTGAGGATACTGGGTGTTATCCAGGGACTGTTCAGTCTCTTAGCTGTCATCTGTTTAATTTTTTTTAGGGCAGTGCTTGTTATAGAGGTATTGGGTCTTTTTTTAGAAAATTATTAATACATTCGTCAATATCTGTATAGATTTCTAGCTCAGTGTGCCAGTCAATGTTTGTTACTGCTGTTGTGAAGTTATTAATGGCTGCCTCATTGTGAAGTCTGAAAGTGACTTCAGTAGTGTCTTGGGGTAATTTGCCTAGATTAGTTATGAGGAAGGTAGGGTAGTGGTCTGTGGTAATATTTGTGATTATGCCTGATTTTAAAGGGGATATGATGTTGGTCCAGATGTGGTGTAGTAGGGAAACACTAGTTTCTGTAATTCTTGTAGGTTTTGTTACTGTTGGTAGCAACAAGCAGTTACTCATAGCGTTTGTGAATTCAGTAACGTGTGGGACTTGGTCTTGCAGATTTATATTGAAGTCACCTGAGAGTAGTAAGTGATCTTTATTCATGCGTGCATCAGTTATCATACTTCCTAGGTTTTCACTAAAACGGCTAATGTTTGACTGTGGTACTCTGTAGATGTTTATCATTGTGAGAGGTTTTTGTAGGTATTTGGATTTGAATTTAGCTATTATATATTCCCCATGTTCATCCCTTGTGCAAGTATTAGTGATACATTCTAGTTGGTCTGAGTAGTATACAGCTGTGCCACCCCCTTGTTGATCTTGCCTATCAATTAATCAGTAAATTTTTATTTCCTTGCAAGATTACATTGAGATTATGAAATAACAAAAATGAGTTGCAGTGCAAAGAGAGCCACTATCATGCCTAGGCATTATGGGCAGACTTAATTTAATGGCTTACAGACTATATAATACTATAGAAATTGAACATAGGTCATTGCTGACCCTAGTGTAGTCCAAAGACTTTATACCCCGTCCAACCAACCTTAGGCAAGGTGATGGTCCACTTGACCTAACTGGACTTTATTGTTTCCATTTTTTTCGTTTCTTAAGAAACTTTTTCTTTACAATTCCCACCCAAATTTTGGCATCCTGTTCCTCTGGACTCCCGGGAGTCAGGAGTTAGTGAGGTGTAACCTTTGTTAGCCCTTAACAACCCAAAACAACAACAACCCTCCCACCTTCACTCAGTGACAGTTATACCACTGATACACGGTATACCAGCTTCCCAGCGTCAATTTGGTATACCACTGACACAAGGTAGCTGCCGAGGTATACCACTGACACAAGGTAGCTGCCAAGTATACCAGTGACACAAGGTAGCTGCCAAGTATACCAGTGACACAAGGTAGCTGCCAAGTATACCACTGACACAAAGTAGCTGTCAGGTATACCAGTGAGCAGCCAAGAAATACATCCTGAGGTTTGTATGTATGTGACTTTATTTTATTCTTTAATAGGATAGTGAGAGTTGTCATTTCAATAATGGAGTAGCACAGGGAATGTGAGCTATCTCACCCCTACTCACCTTTTACTGTATGTGAATTACATATGATGTACTTAGAAGATGTTTCGTCCACCTGGTGGAGAAGTAACATTATGGTGTTCACCCACTTAGCCTTGGAGAGTTACCTGGAGTATAGCTGGGGAGGGTTTTGGGGGTCAACGCCCCAGTGGCCCAGTCTTTGACCAGGCCTTGTGGTGGATCAGGGCCTGATTAACCAGGTTATTACTGCTGGCTTCACGCAAACTACTGTACGAACCACAGCCCAGCTGGTCAGGTACTGACTTCAGGTGCCTGTCCAGTGCCTTTTTGAAGACAGCCAGGGGTCTGTTGGTAATCTCCCTAATTAATGCTGGGAGGCACTTCTACAGTCTTGGGCCCCCTGATGCTTATCATGTTGTCTCTTAGCATACTCGTGGCCTCCCTGCTTTTCATTGGGGGGGGGGGGTGTTGCAGTTGATAAGTGTTTAATAGAAGTGTTTAATAGAAGTGTTTAATAGAAGCATTGTTATACTCCTTATGCCCCCTCCCTCATTGGGTGAGTTCATAATACAGAAAACTATGAAAAAATTATCAAAATATTGAGAGAAATATCATTATGTTTTTATTATTGTTGGGGGTGACAAATTATGATGGCTTGTAGGCTAGCTGTTATTGTTTAGTTGAAATGTATAGTATCTTGTGATACCTCTCTTGATATTTTGATGATTTTTTAACATCCTTTTTGTGTTATGCCCTCCTGAAATGGGAATAATACCACTATGTTTCCTCCCTCCCATCATCACTGATAAAGGGAGGGAGGGAGGAGTAAAAGGAAGTACAGTATGTGATATGACATTGCTATTCTCTCAGAGACATGATCAGAATTTGTCTAAATTTTCATACTTTTGTGTTATGCAAATTAAATTAAGAACAGGCATAATTGTAAATACAGTGGTCCTTCAATAATCGTCTGGCCTGAAAGTCGTCCATTTCGGAAATAGTCCCGTTATTTTGTCTAAACATTGGCTGACCATAACATTGTATCAATCGCATCTGCTAGAAAAATGACAGGATGGATAATGAGAACCTTCAAAACTAGGGAGGCCAAGCCCATGATGACACTCTTCAGGTCACTTGTTCTATCTAGGCTGGAATATTGCTGCACTCTAACAGCACCTTTCAAGGCAGGTGAAATTGCCGACCTAGAAAATGTACAGAGAACTTTCACGGCGCGCATAACGGAGATAAAACACCTCAATTACTGGGAGCGCTTGAGGTTTATAAACCTGTATTCCCTGGAACGCAGGAGGGAGAGATACATGATTATATACACCTGGAAAATCCTAGAGGGACTAGTACCGAACTTGCACACGAAAATCACTCACTACGAAAGCAAAAGACTTGGCAGACGATGCACCATCCCCCCAATGAAAAGCAGGGGTGTCACTAGCACGTTAAGAGACCATACAATAAGTGTCAGGGTCCCGAGACTGTTCAACTGCCTCCCAGCACACATAAGGGGGATTACCAACAGACCCCTGGCAGTCTTCAAGCTGGCACTGGACAAGCACCTAAAGTCAGTTCCTGATCAGCCGGGCTGTGGCTCATACGTTGGTTTGCGTGCAGCCAGCAGCAACAGCCTGGTTGATCAGGCTCTTATCCACCAGGAGGCCTGGTCACAGACCGGGCCGCGGGGGCGTTGACCCCCGAAACTCTCTCCAGGTAAACTCCAGGCTTGTAAATGGTCCGTTAACTCGCTAATCGTCTTTCGTCCTGGACGCGTACTCACGACTCTGAGCTGCGTCGTCTTCCCTTCCCAGCCAGTGTGCCATTGTTTACCAGTGAGCGACGGTTCCCTCATGTGTTCATACGAAATTTAGTAGTGCCTTTTCTGTATGCAAAACTATTTTTATTATCTATAAAATGTATGTTTTGTTAATATTTCTTATAGGAAATAATGTAAATCCAATTAAACCATTCCAGACACCCAAAAATATAAACAAACAATACATTTTATAGATAAAAATAGTTTTGCATTCAGAAACAGCACTACTAAATTCGAGGGTCCACTGTATTCCATTCATTTTAGTGCTTGCAAGTGCTAAATAAGCTACCAAGGCTCCAAAGAAAGCTCCTAGTGCCAAGCCTTTGGTAAAGAAGGTGAGAAATACAATTGAATTTAAGAAAAACATCATTGAACAATATGAAAGTGGCGTACGTGTGGGCGAACTGGCGAGGATGTATAACAAATCCCGTACAACCATATCTTCCATCATAGCTAAGAAAAAGGAAATCAAGGAAGCTGTTGTTGCAAAGGGGGTAAATATGCTGACAAAAAATGAGATCACCAGTACTCGAAGATGTTGAGAAGTTATTATTGGTGTGGATAAACGAGAAACAATTAGCAGGAGATAGTCTTATGACATCGCTTATTTGTGAAAAAGCTAGGCATTCCCTGACGATTTGGTAAAGAAATTGCGTGCAACTAGTGGTGATGTGGTGAATTTAAGGCCAGCAAAGGCTGGTTTGAGAGATTTAAGAAGCATACTGGCATACACAATGAGATAAGGCATGGTGAGGCTGCCAGTTCGGACCAAAAAGCGGCTGAAAAATATGTGCAGGAATTCAAGGAGTACATAGAGGCTGAAGGACTGAAACCTGAACAAGTGTTCAATTGTGACAAAACAGGCCTCTTTTGGAAGAAAATGCCAAAGAGGACCTACATTACTCAGGAAGAAAAGGCACTTCCAGGACACAAGCCTATGAAAGACAGGCTGACGCTCATGTTCTGTGCTAATGCTAGTTGGGATTTCAAAGTAAAGCCATTACTAGTGTACCATTCTGAAAATCCCAGAGTGTTCAAGAAAAAAAATGTTCGAAGAGTAAATTGTGTGTGTTTTGGAGATCTAATAATAAGGCATGGGTCACGAGGGACATTTTCGTCGAGTGGTTCAATGAAGTGTTTGGCCTTAGAGTGAAGAATTACCTCCTGGAAAAGAAATTGGATCTCAAGTGCCTCCTAGTAATGGACAATGCACCTGCTCATCTTCCAAACTTGGATAACCTAATTCCGAAGGAGTTTGGGTTCATCACAGTAAAGTTCTTGCCCCCGAATACTACTACTCTCCTCCAGCCCATGGACCAGCAGGTCATTTCAAACTTTAAAAAACTCTACACCAAAGCAATGTTTCAAAGGTGCTTTAATGTGACCTCAAACACTCACTTGACCCTAAGAGATTTTTGGAAAAGAAAAACTTCATATTCTCCATTGCATAAAACCTTATAGGTAAGGCTTGGGAGGGAGTGAAATAAACCCGGACTTTGAAACTCTGCTTGGAGAAAATTGTGGCCAGATTGTGTCCACAAGACGGATTTTGAAGGGTTTGAGGTGGCCCCTGATGAGCCTGTCAGTTGTGAACTCTGTTGTGGCACTGGGGAGTTCCATGGGGTTGGATGTGAGTTTGGAGGATGTGGAAGAGTTGGTGGAGGACCACAATGAAGAGCTAACCACTGAGGAGCTGCAAGAGCTTCAGCAGGAGGAGCAACAGATCGCAGCTCAGAATCTTGCTGCAGAGGAGGAGGAAGAGAGATGGAAGAAGGTGCCTTCTTCAGAAATTAAGGAGATTTTTGAAATGTGGGGGTAGGATGGAAAGAATTATGGAGAAATATCACCCTGAGAAGGATGTTGCAAGCCATATCGGCAACTTGTACAGTGACAGAGTCTTGACCCATTTTAGGGAAGTTTTTAAAGAGATACCAGAAACAGAGCTCTCTGGACAGTTTTTTTTGTGAGACAGGACTCCAGTAACTCTCAAGGTGGTCCTAGTGGCATTAAGAAACAGAGAAGAGAAGTAACCCCAGAAAAGCACTTGGTACCTGAGGTGTTGATGGAAGGGGATTCTCCTTCCAAACAGTAATTCAATGTCTCTCCTCTTCCAGTCTTCCATACACTAAGAAGAATCGCCAATAAAGGTAAGTGTTATGCTGTTAATGTTTCATTCATCATGTGCCATTGTATTGTTTATGTACTACATCTATATTTCATGTAAAAATTTTTTTTGTTTTAATACTTCTGGGTGTCAGGAACGGATTAATTGTATTTATATTATTTCTTATGGGGAATTTGATTAAAAAATCGTCTGCTTCGATAATAGTCCCACTTCCAGGAACGGATTATAGACGATAATTGAGGGACCACTGTACTACTATGACAAATCATGTTAAACCATTAATAACCCAACAAATAGCTGCTGTGTAGGTTATCACCCATTCCTGTGCCAGACAACACACAGCTCTGCTCTTCAAGAATTTGAACTTGCTTAATTAACAAAATGCACTGCAAGACTCCAGGCGGACATCAACAAAATCTTTAAATGGACCATAGAAAACAATATGAAGTTCAGTGAAGAGAAATTTCAATTACTCATATATGGAAAACATGAGGAAATTAAAACTATATCAGAGTATAAAACAAATTCCAACCATACAATAGAGCGAAAAACTAATGTAAAAGACCTGGAAGTGATAATGTCAGAGAATCTCACTTTCAAAAACCACAACATTGTATCAATGGTATCTGCTAGAAAAGTGACAGAATGGATAATGAGAACCTTCAAAACTAGGGATGCCAAGCCCATGATGACACTCCTAAGGTTGTTTGTTCTATCTAGGCTGGAATATTGCAGCACACTAACAGCACTTTTCAAGGCAGGTGAAATTGTTGACCTAGAAAATGCACAGAGAACCTTCACGGCACATAAATGTGATAAAACACCTAAATTACTGGGAACATTTGAAGTTCCTCGACCTGTACGCCCTGGAATGCAGGTGGGAGAGATACATGATTATATACACTCGGATAATCCTAGAGGGATTAGTACCAAATTTGCACATGAAAATCACTCCCTAAGAAAGCAAAAGACTCAGCAGACAATACA